TATGTCAATACATCTTAAAGAAAAAATTAATTAAAAGGGTTGAGTGACTTTGTTATTAAAATATTCATAGTTAAGTGACTTTCTATGAGAAAATCTTTTAAGTTATAAAAGAAAATTGAGTGAACTTCTAAAAGAAGATCCCTTAATTAAAACTATTAATTGCGTGACCATCTGAAATATTATTTTCATTCACTTATATTGCAACCAAAATGAGATCACCAACTAATATATAGTCGATTGAATTGCTCCTTCCTTAATCAGAAATCTCAAATTCGAGTCCTAAATACAAAAAAGTTCTTAATATTCTCGAATTGAATCCTAAGCCGCGCTAATCTAATTAATTGGGCTTTCATTCAAATATCAAACACCGAATAGAAAAAAACAACCAAAATGAGAGATTTAAATTCAAAGCAAATCTTTCTAGGTAAAGCAACTTAACTAACGAATTAAATTATATCAAATTATCAATTTAAAATTTTTAAATTAAATTAAAACATTTAAAATTTACAGAAAAAAAGTTATAAATTACATTTTTTTTAATCATTTAAAATAACAATCAAAAGTTGATATAAAATTCCAAAAAGCAAAAAAAACATCACACGAGAGAGATTAGATGTAGTAGGAAAAAAAACAGAGGAAAATACGAAATCCCTTGGATTAGCAAGAGCTAAGAGCTAAGAGCTATTCGAAATCGTTTGAAGAATGGGAGCCGACAGTGAAGAAAATGAATTGAAGAAATTGGAATACCTATCTTTAATTTCTAAGGTATGTTCTGAATTGGAAGCACATTTAGGGTTTGGTGATAAAGTTTTAGCTGAATTTATAACTGAACTTGGTAGAAATTGCTCAACAGTTGATGAATTTGATGCCAAATTGAAAGAAAGTGGTGCTGAAATGCCTGATTATTTTGTTAGAACATTGCTAACTATAATACATGCTATTTTGCCTCCTAAACTCACGTCTAAGTCGGATAAGGATTTGAATAAGGATAATAATGATTCTGAGTTTTCCGCTCTCAAGATAAGAGATAATAGAGAACGAGTTAAGGAATTGGAAAAGGAGATTGAGCTGGAAGCCAAGACTAAGAGGAGAGATGGGGAGGAAGAAGAACGCGGTAGTAGGCGAGAGAGGGATAGAGATTATAGAAGAGAAAGGGGTCGAGACAAGGATAGAGGTAGGGACCGACATAGGAATGATTATGATGATGGTAGAGCTGAATGTAGGACTTCAGAAAGGCACAGAGACAGGGACAGGGACAGGGTTAGAGACAGGGACATGGTTAGAGACAGGGACAGGACTAATGATGATGATGCATATGCAAAAGGTAGGAGAGATGAATATGAACAAGAAAGCGATGATGATCGGAGGGATATGAGAAAATTGAGGCATCACATGGATGAGCCAGAGTTGTATGCAGTATATAAGGGGAGGGTATCAAGGGTGATGGATTCTGGTTGTTTTGTTCAGCTGAGTGATTTTAGAGGGAAAGAAGGCTTGGTGCATGTTTCACAACTTGCTACTAGAAGGGTCACTAATGCCAAAGATTTAGTAAAGCGGGACCAGGAGGTTTTTGTGAAGGTTATATCTATTAGTGGGCAGAAGCTGAGTTTGTCAATGAGGGATGTTGATCAGAATACAGGAAAGGATCTGTTGCCATTGAAAAAGAGCTTAGGCGACGATCAATTGACAACTCATCCTTCAACCATGAATGGTGAAGGTTCTAAGACCAGGATTGGTCTGTCAGGAATCAGAATTACGGAGCAGGAGGATGTAATTCCATCACGTAGACCGCTGAAGAGGATGAGTTCACCTGAAAAGTGGGAAGCGAAACAACTTATTGCTGCAGGTGTTTTGGGGGTGCAGGAACATCCCATGTTTGATGAAGAAGGGGACGGAATGCTCTATCAGGAAGAAGGTGCTGAAGAAGAGCTTGAGGTTGAGTTGAACGAAGATGAACCCCCTTTCTTGCAAGGGCAGAGTCGTTATTCAGTTGATATGTCCCCTGTTAAAATTTTTAAAAATCCTGAAGGATCATTGAGTCGTGCTGCTGCACTACAATCAGCTCTGATAAAGGAGAGAAGGGAAGTAAGGGAGCAGCAACAGAGAACGATGCTTGATTCCATCCCTAAAGATCTCAACAGACCCTGGGAAGACCCAATGCCAGAGACAGGTGAGAGGCATCTAGCACAGGAGCTTAGGGGTGTTGGTTTGTCTGCCTATGACATGCCAGAATGGAAGAAGGATGCTTATGGTAAAGCCTTGACCTTTGGCCAGAGGTCTAAGCTATCCCTCCAGGAGCAGAGGCAGAGTCTTCCTATTTACAAACTGAAGAAAGAACTGGTTCAGGCTGTCCATGATAACCAGGTCCTGGTTGTCATTGGTGAGACAGGTTCCGGTAAGACAACACAGGTGACACAGTATCTCGCCGAGGCAGGGTATACAACGAAGGGAAAAATTGGCTGTACTCAACCTCGTCGAGTGGCTGCAATGTCAGTGGCTAAGAGAGTTGCTGAGGAGTTTGGTTGTCGATTAGGTGAAGAGGTTGGTTATGCTATTCGTTTTGAAGATTGTACTGGGCCAGAAACTGTTATCAAATATATGACTGATGGTATGCTTCTGAGGGAGATCCTGATTGATGATAACTTATCCCAGTATTCAGTCGTAATGCTTGATGAAGCACACGAAAGAACAATTCACACTGATGTTCTCTTTGGTTTGCTTAAGCAGCTTATGAAGAGGAGACCTGACCTTCGTCTAATTGTCACTTCTGCAACTTTGGATGCAGAGAAATTTTCTGGTTATTTCTTCGACTGCAACATCTTTACAATCCCAGGAAGAACTTTTCCAGTAGAGATACTCTACACAAAGCAGCCAGAAAGTGATTACCTTGATGCGGCTTTAATTACTGTTATGCAGATCCACTTGACGGAACCTGAAGGTGATATCCTCCTCTTCTTGACTGGTCAAGAGGAGATTGATTATGCTTGCCAGTGTCTGTATGAGAGGATGAAAGGACTAGGTAAAAATGTTCCTGAACTGATCATACTGCCTGTCTATAGTGCCTTGCCCAGTGAAATGCAGTCCAGAATTTTTGATCCTGCCCCTCCTGGGAAGAGAAAAGTTGTTGTTGCTACAAATATTGCTGAAGCTTCTTTGACAATTGACGGTATATATTATGTTATTGATCCTGGATTCGCAAAGCAAAATGTCTACAATCCAAAACAGGGGCTTGATTCACTGGTTATTACCCCAATTTCACAAGCATCAGCAAAGCAGCGAGCAGGACGTGCTGGACGAACTGGACCCGGGAAGTGCTACCGTCTGTATACTGAGAGCGCTTTCCACAGTGAAATGTCCCCTACCGCAATTCCAGAAATCCAGAGGATAAATCTTGGGAACACTGTTCTTATGATGAAAGCAATGGGTATTAATGATCTTTTGTCGTTTGATTTCATGGACCCACCTTCCCCTCAGGCTCTCATATCTGCCATGGAGCAACTTTATACTCTTGGAGCATTGGATGAAGAGGGGCTTCTGACGAAACTGGGAAGAAAAATGGCAGAATTTCCCTTAGATCCTCCTTTGTCCAAGATGCTTCTTGCTAGCGTGGACCTTGGCTGTAGCGATGAGATCTTGACCATAATTGCTATGATTCAAACTGGAAATATCTTTTACCGACCAAGAGAAAAACAAGCTCAGGCCGATCAGAAAAGGGCCAAATTTTTTCAACCTGAGGGTGATCATCTTACCTTGCTTGCTGTTTATGAGGCTTGGAAAGCGAAAAACTTTTCAGGTCCATGGTGTTTTGAAAATTTTGTCCAGTCACGATCACTTAGGAGGGCACAGGATGTTAGAAAACAGCTGCTCTCCATCATGGATAAGTATGTATTTCAATTCCTTATTCATACTGTACTTCCCATTTCAAGCCTTGTACTCTCTTACTGTTTGCTTATTAACTTTTATCGACTGTTAGCTTAATTGACTTGGGCTTATTTTGTGGATCTATCTGCCTGATGTTTATTAATTCTCTTTTAGGTTAGAAACTTATATGGTTGCGACTCGATTCTGATACTTGCTTGTTCTTGCAGGTATAAATTGGATGTTGTAAGTGCTGGAAAGAATTTTACAAAGATCCGGAAGGCTATTGGAGCAGGTTTCTTTTTTCATGCTGCTAGAAAGGATCCTCAAGAGGGTTATAGAACTCTAGTTGAGAACCAGCCAGTTTACATCCATCCTAGCAGTGCTCTTTTTCAAAGACAGCCGGACTGGGTTATTTATCACGAGCTTGTTATGACAACAAAGGAGTACATGCGCGAGGTAACCGTGGTAGATCCTAAATGGCTTGTTGAGCTGGCACCAAGATTCTTCAAGGTGTCTGACCCAACAAAATTAAGCAAGCGCAAGAGACAGGAACGTATTGAACCTCTTTACGATAGATATCATGAGCCAAACTCTTGGAGATTGAGTAAACGGCGAGCGTGATATCTCTTTTTTTTCTTGGTTGTGTTGGTTCATTGAAATGCGCACCGTTTGTTTCTGTAAGAGTGACATATATTTGGTCAATTTTAAACATAATTTTTGACATTTGGAGCACTTCATTTGTACAAGCCTTTTTGCCATTTGAGCTAATTATAGTTTTCAGTGAAGTTCCTCAAAGTTGTTATATCTTTTTTGTTATTTGCTTTATGCAAGAGACATGATCTTTGAAATTCAACTTTTACTTTTTTATGTTCCAAAGATGGATCCTTTTGAACTGGATCAGAAAGAAGCTAAAAGAATATGCTTGTTACTCTAGCTAACTAGTTTCGAAATCATATTTTAGTTTTGAAAAGTAAATAGAGTATTTCATGAAATAATTTAATATATTTGGATTACAAAATTAGTCATTCTTATGCTTTTTCCTTTTTGTATTTGTCTGGGTTGACTTGTTAATGCTTGCTGACGACTTCTACTTATTTTTAATTTGTTCAAACTTTAGCATGGATAAGGGATTTACTTAAAACATTGTGTGAACATGTTTTTTGTGCTCGCTTTTTCTACGTGATCTGGGTGTTGCTGTCACTGTCACGAATAGTGCTCTTTTTATTAGTAATGTTGTGATTCATTTTTACTCCATTTCTTGTCTAAAGGTTGTTTTCCCCTTAAATTTCTTGTCTAACGGTTGTTTTCTTGACAGCTGTGATTGAAATTATGCCCCATGTTTGATTTAATGCTTTAACCTTCAGAATGTTGGTGAATATAGGAAAATCTGTTCTTTCTCAGCTTTAGCTCTTTCTCTCTGATGTAATGTCATTTTTATACATCCTTTTTAAAGTGAAGTGTTTTCTCTTTAATGGCTGGTTCTCCTATGAAAAGCATCTGAAGTTCTAAGGTCCGTAAAGATTATGTTTTAGTTACTATTGAAGAGTTAATTAGACCAGACCAATAAGATCTAAAGTTGTCCAGTCCTTTCAAATTTTAGGATTGATGTAACTGCACTAACCACATAATGTTTCTAGTACTTTGTCCTGCATTTCTTGCTTCGACTGTCTCTGCTTTCTACCTGTTGTATGATTATTTATGTTATTGCTGTATTGCACCTCTAAGACTGCTTATTAGCAGATATTTATTGGTTACTTTTCTAGTCTTTGGTAAGCACGAGTTCGAATGAACCATGGACTGCAATAGTCTCTAGTCTTAGTTAAGCATGAGTCTGAATGAACCATGAATTGTAATAGTTGGCACCAGATGAATGCCGGAATGCTACTTATGATGTAATGTACTTATCTTTTTAACCATGAGACATTGATAAGTTTCAGTTCCAACTTAATTGACTGTCAATTGATTGACTTTTTGGCAACTTAATTGACTGTCAATTGATTGATTTTTTGGCTTTCAATCGGCACGGGGTCAAGTCAGAGGTTGGAAACTCATACTGAATTTTTCGACTGTTTCTGCTGCTGATAACCGACAAGAAACACTAGGTATACATTTCTCATGTTTGATGTAGTTAAAGTAATTGTGACGGAAGTGAGTAGCTGCATGGGTTGTTCCAACCATAACATATTGTATAAGATAAGTTTGACCTTGATTTTGGTGAACACCTGGGTGAGATATTTGCGGACTCAAGACTGGACCGTGCTGTGACCTATCACGAGTCACGCACAGCTAGTGTAATTTGACAAATGACTTTGGCTAGATTCTCTAAGCTGTACTTGGAACCATGCAAATACCATAGTTTTATTGGAAACATGTAATGTTCAAGCTGCCATTTTTTTATGAGCCGTGTATTTGAATATTTGGACTTCCAATATGCCTGAGTTCTTTTGTAGGCATGTCAAGTTTACTTCACCATTTTGACCAATGGCTATCCCCGATACAGTGTATACTTCACCTTAGAATATAAGTTTAGTTTATTCCTATAAACATAAAAATTATGGTTGACTATATAAAGGACATGTTTGTAGATGTGGCAATATGGTTTTCACCTTGTGGGATCAAATAAACAAAATATACATGTGTGTATAGTAGATTTTTTGTGCAAATGACCTTGTTATGACTTTGAAATTCAAACAAGGAGGTTATCTTGTGTTTGTATATGCGGCCACAAATTTAGACAAATAAGTCATTGGAATCATATCTGGAAATATTAGTAGGATGGGGATAGTAACAAGGAGGAAGATATGGGCTCTCAGCTAGTGGACTGGGAGGTGGTTCAACTGGATAAAAGGTGTGGTGGTTTGGGTATCAGGGATTTAAGAATGCAGAGCAATGATGAAATGGTTATGGAGATTCAATTGGGAACATGAGGCTTTGTTGAAGGAAGTAATGTGAGCAAATATGGCCAGACTGATTAAAGATGTTAGACAGTTGACCACTTAAACTACATAGTTAGAGATTGTTTGCTATTGCTTATGCCTCAGCAGAGAAGTAAAGTCCTGCTCTCCTCTCGTCCCCGTAGGTTTCTAGTTCTATAGCTTAACCCTTACTTTTACGATGAAAGGACAGAGGTGTGGCGGCAAGTCAAATTTTTGGTCTCCAAATTTCAGTCCCAGTAGAATCTTATTTTTGTCGCGATTAGGCATAAGTGGTGAAAGAAGTGGGACCTAGACATCAAATATAGGATTGTTTTTATATACAATCTCCATTTTAGTAGTCCTAGCTATCCACTTTACTATGTGGTAGAGTGTTCATCCCAACCCCTTCACAGGGGTGCATTCCCTTTAATTGAGATGACTAGAAATTGACTCCCCTATTCGAGATGTGAAAGAAGGGTATGGAGTTTATCCAAGGAATGCTCTCCCATGGTGTACTGATAATGTTACTAGAATCTATGGAACATCGCTGTGGAGAACTATCAGAAACCTTAGGCCTAAGTTGTCTTGATCACATGAATTGAAAGGTGCGAAATGGGAGCAAAATATTATTCTGGGCTGATCTATAAATTGGCCTGGGGATTCTGAAGCAGACATTCCCAGACCTCTTCAATATTTGTTCTGCTCCTAGTCTCAGCAGCTGACAGCTGGTCACCAGTCACTACAATGGTGGGATGTCTCGGAACACCTGGATGATTGGGTACTGAGAAGATTTGCGGAGTTGATGAAGGTCCGAGAGGGTTTCAATAGCACCACTACAGATGGAAGCATAACAGGGATGAGATCTCAGTTAGAACAAGCTACAAGCAAGAAGCAGGGATGCAACCTCAGATCACAACAGGGCCCTGGAAACATGTTTGGTCAAACATGGCGCCAACAAAAGTAAAATGCTTTGGTTGGCTAGTTTCCAGGAAGCCTGCCTCACACATCAAGAATTGCAGAAGAGAAAGTTTCACATTGCTTCTGGCGTTTTCTCTGCTATGAGAAAAGAGAGACCAACAACCACACATTCCTACATTGCAAACTCAAATCTCAATTATGGTCTCTGTTCCTCCAATTAACAATGCTTAAATGGACAATGCCGAGTACTCAACAGATCTCTTAGGTTGCTGGACAAGGAGAGGGGGCAGCAAGAATCAAAAGAACTGGGGGTTATTAATTCCACCCTGTATTTGGCGGACAATTTGGAAGGAGAGAAATGGTGGATGTTTTGAAGATAAGACACAACATCCACAAAGTAAAGGTAGATGCACTGCCACCTTTTATTTTTTGTGTAAAGAATCTTCAATCTTGTATAGAAGAAGCAGAACAATTAGTAGATTTTTTAGGATATTTTAAGTAATCTAGATTCCTAACAATATTTTGGAGGTCTCCAGCATGTCCCTAATGCCGAGGAATACAAATTTTACCAGATTCAAAAAAGAAAATATGCCCAAGTTCTTACTTAGCAGGGAAGAATGAAGGACGCCCAGCTTGGATCACATATTATGAGATTTCATGGTATGATCGTGGCAAGGACTCATCTGAATGACTGACTGATCCTAATATTACTTCTGGCGATAGTTTTCCTACTAAATTATATTCATCTGTTTTATTGGTTTGTTGGGAAAGACATGATGGAAGATCTCAAGTATTTTCTAAAAAGTAGTATTGTACCTATTTGGGCTATGCCAGTGAGTTGATCCTCATACTTAATTCAGTAGCTATAAAATTACTCCATGGATGCGATTAGTACCTCATATTCAGATTTCAAATTTTCCAAAATTTATCAGGTGTATGCTGTTCTGTTGCCTGTGGTTGTTTGCATTCTCTTTTATTTTTATCAAAGAGAAGCCTATGATCTTTCATTATGCGATATTAGGCAAGCTTTTCTTTGGATTTGGCTAGTTTAGTGGAAGTGGTTTACATTTCTTCTCACCATAAAAGGTTTCTGGTAGTCCTCTAATTATATTCTGATGGCAGGGCGTTTGTTCTCTGTTCTGGTAACATGTGTTATCACAGATGCTGTTGGACAGACTTCTTCTGGTGTTGTTTTCCAGACGGAAAAGAAGTAAGACTACGTAGTATCTGTCATAGTTATCTTCCAGTTTTACTATTTATAAGAAATCAGTACATCGAACTGGAAACGTGATGAAAGGAAAATGCTAGCCTGTTGCATAGGCAAAAACATTTTTTAGGGTCGTATATTTCTACTTTGATTGTTTTAGATCTTGATCTTTGAATCAAGGTGTTTGTTGATTTCCTCGTATTATTTATTTTCATGTTGTTGATTACATTTTGGCTAAGATATGAAAGGAAATTGAATTTTCAATGGATCTTGCTATTACAAGGGACATACTACTCTCTGTTAAATCCAAAATTTAGCTTGCTGCTGCTGCTTCTTACTACCTGTTTGGCTGGAGAGATTTTTGACTCTCTATTTCAAGTTTATGGCTGACTAATTCACTAGCTTCTTCTTCTTTTTTTTCATCTTTCTTATGTTCGATTAGTTGAAATTTTTCAACAATATTTTCTTTAGGTAGGCAGGTTCTTTAAAAATGAGTTGGGATCAATTTGTGCTAGGGTACGTCATATGTGTATGTTACTGTGTTCCCTCATGTATCATCCACCGCTTCATGCGGCGGTTGTCAAATCTACCCGTTAGCATGTCACGACCCAAAAATGGGTGTGATGGCACTCGTCTTATCCCACCAAGACAAGTCAGCCTAAAACCAAATATCTAACAAAGTGCGGAAGTAAATGACAATCCAACAACAATTCCTATTGTGAAACCAAGTCATATTAATCCAATCCCCAAAATCAGGTTATCACGTGCACAAGCCTCTAATGTAAATATTAGAACAG